CGTCCTCGGGAGGCCCCACCTGAGCGGCAGCAGCATCCGTCCCTCTTCTGCGCCTGCCTGCCCTCCTCCCCCCCCCCCCCCCCCCCGGCCCTTGGCCCCGGCTGTCTCTCGCCGACGAGAAGACGTTGGCTTGAGCATGTGGCGAGCGCGGGGAGGCGTCGCGCCATCGCAGGACCTTCTCCCCCTCCTGCCACACACACACACACACACACACACACACACACATATGTACACGCACGCAGGCTTACACATACACCCAGGCACACGGGGGGGGGGGGCACACAATAGTGACCGACAACGGGGGGGAGGTGCCGTCGGGGGGCCGGCGGAGAATGGCCCCGCGCGTGCGCACGCACACCGGCAGTCGGCTGGCCGACCGGTCAAGTCAACACCGGTCGCGGGGGGGGCTTTCCCGCCTCGGCCGCCCGAATGGGCGGCCCTCCTGTAGCCGGCCGGCCGGGGGCCCAGGCGCGCGACTGGGCGAAGATACCCCCCGTGCCCGCTTCCTCCCGCACAACGCCACCACTTGAGACGCATCGTCCCCCCGGTTCGGCAAGCGGCCGTGGCCGCTGGGATCTCCCCCGCCCCCCCCCCCCCCCCGGGCCCCCCGCACACGCCCCCACACACCCCACCCACGACCACCCGTGTGCCCGTATACCGCAGGGCGAAGCGCCCCGCCCCCCTCGCCCTCGCACACGCGCGCGCAAGAGCCCTCCGACCGGTATGTCCCGGACACCACCACTCCGGCCCCGGTCAGCCAGCAGCAGTTCAATGCTCGGCTTCTCGCCCCCCCCCCCCCCTTCCCCCCGAGAGGGGAGGCCCCCGGGTGTTGTGGGTCACCGGTGGTCACACCCGCGCCGGCCCGGGGGATCGGCCAAAAATTGGCTGGATATTTTCTCGCCCCCGTCCGCGGGGCATGAGCCGGGCGTGGCCCAGCTTTCCAAGCGCCCCCGGCCCCTGCCGGTAAGCAGCCTGCCATCGAGCAACACGCGCACCACCCACATCCCTCCCCCGATCGGGAGGATGCGCCGAAATCCGACCCCGGCCGCCGCCGCCGCCGCCGCCCCCGTCGCCCCCAGCCAAGTGTGCCCGCTCCCGGGACTGAGTCTGGCGAAGGGGGCGCAGAACCCCCCCCCCCCCCCCCCCCCCCCCCCCCCCCCCCCCCCCCCCCCCCCCCCCCCCCCCCCCCCGGGGGGGGGGGGCGGGGGGGGGGGGGCAGCCGGCAGACGGGGGGGGGGGGGGGGGGGTGCGCCAGGGCGCGAAGGCGCTCCCCGCCAGTCGGGCGACCCTTTTCAGCGTTCCAGGGCGCGTGGACACCCCCGGTCAAGCCCGACCCGCCGCCGGGGCACGCCGGCCCATTTCGGCTCTCGAGGCCAGGGCGCACCGCGCTGACAGTGCCCCTCCGGCGCCGAAGGGGGAACGCCCCCGTGCATGGGCGCCACACACCCGCACAGCCTCCCCCCTCCCCCATCCGCACCCGGCGTTACACACGGCAAATGGGCTCGGCTGGCCGTCGCAGTGTCGGCACACGGGCCGCGTGCCAACAACGGCCGCGCGCGCGCGCGCGGGCCACACTCGGGCCCCGTATGCGCCGGGCCTTCGAGCGGCCCCTTTCGGCGCAGGCGCTCGGCTCGTCCGCCGCCGCCGTCCCCCCGCTCCTGCCCC